AGCCGAAAGGGCAACTATCACTAATCTACTAGTACATTTCCTATCGGGTGCCATGTCTCCTTCTAGCCCGTACAATTTCACTTTTAGCATATGTCATGCCGTCTATCAGGATCGTAGGAGATTCTCGTGGGTTAGTAGTTTTGTTAGTAGGCTGGCTTGAAGGCGCTTCTCCAAGTGTTCAACATCCTATCTTCGGCAGTTGAAGCGCGCCTACCGTGTCTGCTACGAGGCGGTTGGTGTGAGTTAGGTTGGGGAAAGTGGGTGATTTGTGTTCGACTATATGGTTAAGCGACGTCGAGTCGGCCGGTGGCGATTGCAAACCGTATTGACGCCCGTACCGCTTCTAAGTTTGGACTCCAGTTTTGATTATCTGAGGGCGACTTCCCGCCCAAATAGAAGGATATGTTGCCTCGGTGTGTGTTGGTACATTGCAGCATTTCTGTCCGATGTGTCGTCCATCTCTGGCATCGAAAGAGAAAGTGCTCTACCGTCTCTCTTGCTTGTCCACATTCACACTGATCCGTTTGCGCAACGTTGATTCGGTAGAGGTATCCGTTTAGTCTTGCCATGCCCGTCCGGAGCTGGGCCAGCACGCTCGCTTCTTTCCATGATAATGGATCATACAGCTGTCGGGTGTGCTTGCCTGGGAGGGCCGCGTCCACCCTTTTCACGTGTTTGCCTACTTTCTTGGGCAGGCCTTTACTGGTGTCATGTTGGGATCGTGCGATGTTAAGAGTGGTTGACTTCATTCTGGGGAGCTGTATATATGGCACGGGGTCCTCTTGGGTTGCTGCTCTGGCTTGCACTTTAGCGAGGCCCAATAATTCGTTATCCTCACTTGTGGAGACCCAGCGGATTGTGATCCTGTTTCCATTTTTTCGCAGTCTTCTGATCAGCTTGTATATCAGGCAAACGTGCTCCTGGCCCGACTGTTGTCGCGGGTTCCCCAGTGTGAGTGCGGCCGCTTTATTGCTCGTTAGCAGCGTGAATCTGTACGATTTCAGTACTGGTAGCGTCTTCAATGCGTGTGCCATTGCTGCCAGCTCTCCCGAGTATGGGTTCTGCTCCGATCTTGCGCCAAGTGTGATGGAGAAGGTCTTTAGTCTCGGCTTTTTGTACTTGGGCGGCTGCTTCTGAATCACTCCGCCAAATCCTACTACCTTATTCCGTGCCGAGCTGCTGACTGCGATCTGCATAGATCCGCCGGCTTCTGCCTGTGACTCTGGGGTTTGTCCAATATCAGCCTGCAGTCGTTCCTCCCATGGTGCTAATGTAAATGGATTAATAGTTTCTAGTATTTCCATCTCGATAGTTTTCAGCACGTCTGCCACCTGATATAACGGCGAGCGGTGGAATCTTCGGAATTTCCTGATACGATCCGTGTTCCTGCGGAGTGGGTTGGTTTCCGGTAGGGTGTGGATGTCCGTCCACATCTTCACTGCCCGTCTCCAGAACCGGCTTTGCGCCGAGGCGATGTGAGCCTCTGCTTCCGCCACACTGGTTGCGACGGTGAGGAATGTTCCCACAATCACTTGAGCTCCAACCCGTTGGACCCGGTTAATGGGCCCGATGGCCTTATCTTTGAAAGCGTGCATCCAGACATTAGAGGCATAGTCCACCACTGGGGTAACTGTTGATGCGAACAACTGCCGCGCGGTAGATGGGGATAAGCCTCTAAGTCGTTTAAGCTCCATTGCTGCTTCTAGGCCCTTGGACGCTGCCCTGGCTATGTGTGCCTTGTATTTGAGTCTAGTATCCATCACTACTCCAAGGATCTTGACGTGGTCCTTGGGTTCAACTGCTTGTCCCTTGATGGTGAAGGGCTCTTGTTCTGATTTGTGTGCTTTGGGGGTGAAGTGTATAATGGCCGTTTTATCTGCTTCGAATGTCGCCCCACTCCTCCTCTCCCAGTCGAGTGCTTCGTCAATAATTTCCTTAATACCTTCCCGGTTGCTTCGCGCAGTTGGCCCGGTCACCCACGCGGTGAAGTCATCCACGAAAGCAATCGCTCCGCCGCGGCTGTCGATCTGTCGTTGCACGAGGTCTGCGTTGAAGAAGAGGAACAGGATCGGCGATAGGGGAGAGCCCTGCGGTAGTCCGGCCTGTGGGAGGCTTTGTACCTCAGACCCTTGCCCATTGATTTGAATGGTCGCTGTTCGTTCCGAGCAGAAGGCCTCGACCCACCGGATCAGACTTTCTGGTATGCCTCGCGCTTTCATCCTCTGGAGTAGTCGTTCTTTGCAGACCCCATTGTAGGCTCCTTTGACATCAAAGCTGATTAAGCTCAGGACCCGACGGCCACGCCAGGCCGTGTAGATTTGCTCTTGCAGGAGCAGGAGTGCCTGTTCCGCTGATCGCTGTTTTCGGGCTCCAAAGTGACTGGTTGGGAGTAGGCCGTACGTTTCCACTGCGTGTGAGATCCTTTCTGCCACCACTGATTCTAAGACCTTGCCCAGTGTCGCGAGAAGTGAAATCGGCCTCCAAGCTTTCGCAATGGTGTAGTCTTCTTTGTTTGGCTTTTTGAGTGGTATGATTTTTGCATGTCTCCACTGACTTGGTAGCCTGCCCTCTTCCAGCGACGCCTGGAACAGGTCAAGAACCCTGTTTTTAACCGCGGGCCAGGTCATCTTCCAAACTACCGCTGGTAGGCCGTCTTCTCCAGGTGCCTTCCAAGATTTTGCTCTAAACAGCTGTCGCTCTACTTCCTCCATGGTGATGGCAGGCATCCCGACCGGTGCTCTTTGCGGTCTGGCTCCTTCCTCCTCGATGTTGTTTGGTAGAGGAGGAAAGAACTTAG